TGCGACAGCCTCAAAGTCGACCGCGACAAACGATCTGTCCGTTAGAGAGGCGGGAAGACACCCGGCGGCTTGTGTATCGCCGCCGTTTCCCTCTACAGCAAAGCAAGTTTTAACTGCGGCTATAAATAACGAGGCGCAATTAAAGGGCCGGGCCTCGGGGCAAAGAGTGTAGCGAAACGATGGAAATGATGTCGTGTCGTGGGCTAATAGCGTAATGCGTGCATGTCGAGCCGGTGCCGAGCCGAGTCCGTAGCCGAGCGAGTCGCACTGGCTGGTACGAAACTCACCCGGGCGCGCTTTTAACGGCCGAACTTGTAACCGCGCGTGTACACGGTGATAACTTCCGCCATCCTGCGTTCCGCGAACACAATATTCGCCAGGATCAGCCGCACCGCTGCCGACCTGCTTCAACTATCGACCGTTTTTTTTTTTTATTGTTTTTATTTTTTTTTTATTTTAGTTAATTGGTCTTCGCGGCGGCAAGTACAGTTTGCTGAAAAGGTACAAACTAGGGAGTTTTTTTTTCTCATTAATTTTGTTCAAGATGAGCGTGAGTCCGAAAAAGGTGTTATTTCGAACCGCTGAACGATCATGAAAAAGTCTTTTAAGAAACGACTCCGCAAATGCGAGAGAATTGTGTTTTCAAGAAAATTATTTTTTCACATTCTTTCGTTCAAAATTCGTTTAAAAACATAAAAGAATTCTTAGACGCAAATTTTTAAACCACATTTGTATCGTTAAGAGTTGCGAGAGTAAAAATCGATGTTGTGTTTTGTCGCGTGCAAATTTAAAAACAGAAGATTAATAACGTCAAACACGATTTTAAGAGACAAGTCAATGGTGTGTTAGATAAAATTATTGCTGCGCGATATTTTGTGAGATTTATTAGGTTCGTGTAAATTTCATAATGAAATTATAGCTCTGATACGATTGAATGTCGAAATATGTTCGGTCGAGCCCATGTGCAACATTAATTACTCGATCTGTAAGATCATAAATAAATTGATGAATTAACAATTTGGCGTGCCTCGTGATTAACGGCTCGCGGTTATAAAATTAATAGGGCATATTATCAACGATTTTCACAGTTTATTAATTATTCTTGACATTGTTGAATAATAAAATCGCTGCCACAATAACAAACTAAATTAATAAGTTAATTCTTTTGCCCGCAAAGTTCCACATAATAAAACGCACGATGTTTTATTCCTGATTGTTACGTTGAATTTTGACCAACGTGAAAATATCCACAAAACGTTTTCTAAACATAGAACACATGAGAATATTTCAACTGATATTATATTTGTACTCTCTTCTGAGCAATTAATTATCTCAACTGTATATTAAATGAAAGAGTATTTTTCCATGTAATTAAACATTTAATATAAATTTTATTAAAAGTACAATGACGTAAATTATATTGTTAAAACATGACTTATTATTATACGCGATATAGCACAGATTATATCTCATATAAATGTACATATGTTATTTGATACAAATTGTTGAATATATTTATAATTAATTACATGTAGATTCTAATATATTATTATATCTAAACGTAGATAGATAACCGTGAATATCAAATATATTTCGGGCATGAAAATAGAATTCTTATTTATCTAAAATCATTTTTATAATTCGTATGGTTTTACATTTCAGCTTTTAACATCGGGACACAAAATCCTCACATTGTATGATTTTTTATGTTATACAATACATATACATTAAGGAGAGGGCAATTACGTTAAGGAAAACTACTTTTTAATTAGAAAGCAAGAAAAGAACTTATTTGCAGTTATATCCCGCGGAATATAAATGATCGCCGAGCTAGATCGTTAATATAAACGCGCGCCCACGCGCGGAAACACTTGAAAAATCCGCTCGCGATGGCGGGACGACGTCCGCGGTGACGTTGCGACGCTGTCGGCGACGAAACGTCATGGACAATGCTCGTTTTATTACGAAGTTCGGCGACGGAGAAACGGCCGATTATTATTCGCCTCGCGTTGTCATATTCCATTAGCGTCGCTGCCTGTTACAGACTCCGCTCGGCTTCGCTCTAGCTCGCTCGCTTGCACTCGCTCACGCGCTCGCGTTCGCACTCATTCGCCAAGCGGTTAGTTCGAGGAACAATTCACAACGCGATATAGGAATCACCCTTCAACCGCGTGCTGGAGATGACATCGATACTCGACTTCCTCTCTCTACTGTCTCTCGTGTGTCTCCTTCTCACTCTCTGTCATCGCTCTCGCGCTTTCCTCTCCCCCCTCCCCTCTCTCTCTCTCTCTTTCTACCATTCTCCACCCCTCTCTTTCTCTCTCTCTCTGTTTCTCTTGCGCGCACCACCGCATCCGCGTACACCCGCGTATCGACTAAACTTCGCGGCGACGCCGACGCCCGCAACGATTAGCTGCGTCGCGGTGGCGAATGTCGGAGAGTTTCGTTCCACCGCGCTGCATTTAACCCCTTGACGCCTGGATTTTCTCTCCCGCCACACAGAGAAGTGGATTACCAATAAATCAGTTCTCGCGCGCGTTTCGATCCAGGGAAAATCAACTCGGAGAAAAACAATCAGCCGTGTGGCGATTGTCTGTCTTTCGCAGCGTTTCTGCGACTGCGTTGCTTCGCGTTTCGTTACCCGAACGAGTCGTTACTTTGCTTTTCCTCACGTAAAAGCGCTTAAATTTCTCCTGACAAACACACACACACATACACACATAGATGTGTTACGGACGTAATCAGTTGTACAACTTTTAATTAGAAAAAAATTTTATTTTTACACACAAGCGGAATTAATAATTTTAACAGTTTGAGAAAAAAAAGAAAATACATGTTAATGTTTGCGAATCCACAAAGAACGATGCCATCTTTCAGTTGTTGAGTTAGGTCTTGTCCGTCGTCTTTAGCGGCTCCGTGAAATACTCTTACCTCGTCTTTCCCTAATAAATCAACCTCTCTCTCTCTCTCTCCCTCTTCTTCTCTTCCAAGTGCAACAAACACCTAGCAAATCATCAATTTTCGGACGGCCTCATGAAATGCTCGCGGGCCGACGTGTAAACAATTTGCGCAAGTAGCCGCGATAATGGAGGAGCAGTAAGAGAGTGAGGGGGATGAGAATAAGGTACAAGGAAGGGGACGCGGGCCGGGGGTGTTTGGTTAGCTCACACAAAGGACGAAGCGCACCGCTGCGCACACAACGGAATCAGCCCGCTACTCTAACAAGGAACATCCACAAACCACCCCCTGCGAGGGACTGAAATGGCGAAGGGTAGAGGGGTTAGGGGACGGGCTGCTACAGGACCTCAACGGTTTGCAGAACGTACGGAAGTTAGCGACACGGATACGAGCAAATGTCTTGCGGGAGCAACGAGCGTGATGGAAAATGTTTTTGGAATGAAGTGATTTGCGGGAGAAGGATAAGGAAGGGGGTGTAATCCTAAACTCATGATTATTTTAACTTTACTCACACAAACTGCACACACACAAGTTGTGAGTTCAATAAAACTCAACAAAAGTGTGTGTTCCACGGAGAGAATGCGCGTCTTCGCAAACGTCGAAAGAAAGTCTTTGTCATCTTAATCTCAACGTCACGTTTTTTAAATAAACAATAAATAATAAACAATTAATAAAACATACACCGTAATTACACCGTACAATTTAGAAAATTACATGTATATCTTTCGTCGTTTTTAATTTTTCGATGGCATTTTGGACAATATTTTTAACACGGCGCACGTTATGTGTTACAACAATCACGCGGCTGTCTCTTTTCTCTTTGTCCGCCCAACTTCTGCTTTTTCTACTTTTTTCATCCCCGCTGCAAGAAAAGAAGTACAATTTCATTGAATTGAAACTGTTCCTTGCACCCTTATATTAGTTTTTCCTAGCTTTTTCTGTTTTCTTTTGCTTCCTCTTGCTATTTTTTTTTTTTGCTCTTTTTACCCCCTTGACACTTCCTTCCTTATCGCTGTCGTTTCGTGTTCTTGCCTCCGGCAGGTGCCACTATCTCTGTTCTCTGGCGTGTTCTTCCTTTTGTTGATCCTTTAACCTTGATTTCAGAGAAATGCATACCCTGGAGCAAACCGTGTACGTGTGTGTGTGTATGTTCTTCGACGTTTGTCACGCGCTCATCATGCTAATTACAAGCACAATTTATTTTAAATTCTTTACGTGTCGCTTCCGAAACGGTTGCTTTCATCGGACTCGTCACAGCGTGTAATTACACAGAGCTCGTGAGATTAATGCCTCTGCGCAGTCTGCAAATTTATAATCCGAGTATTTATCACAGACGGTGCCTTCAACATTCGAAGAAACACGTACGCACAATCGCGGGGATTCGCTACAGAATATCGCGCGGATCAATATCCGTTGCACACCTGTTGCGCGACTTTTGAATCGCTCTGTACGATGAATACGGCGACCGTCTCGGCTGGGTAAAGCGCGCGGAAACAAGAAGAATGAGAAATCCTTGTCGCTTGATCGCCCACCGTCGACGACGACAACGACGACGACGACGACGACGACGACGACGACGACGACGCGGCGCATTCATTATCAATCTCGCTACGGGCCGGCTCAAAGGCAGCGAAATTAATAACTGTTTGCGGAAACGCTGAGCGGAAACTTCGCGCTTCGTCGCCGTCTTTTATTAATCCGCGTAAGCCGCCAGTGGACTGCGAAGCGGTGCAGCGCGGCGATGAAAATGCACTTTGCGCTTGTATTACGATACGCCGGGCGTGTCCGCTCGGAGTCGATCTTCGCAATCCGCCTCGTTTCGCTCATTCAATTATTACGCGAATGCGCACACATATATCGTATATTACTGAATATACATATATCATACTTGGTGGTAAATGTAATTAATTAGTGCCTTTTCCCTTGATGTATCGCTGAATATATTATTTGAACAATAACCACGAATCACTTGATTATTCAACGCATTTTTGTGCTGTATTATATTTCATAACTAATGAATCTGTTGTGTTTTGTGTTTGTAGATGTAAACATGGTGGCGGAGCCGAAGCCTCATCAGACCGGACGCAAGCGACAGAATGTCACCAAGACTGGCAACGACTGGTAATTGACCAATTTTTTATCTTAAATAAAAGAAATAGAACTTTATAGCCATAAGCTAGATATACGTGCAAAAACATGTTTTTTTAACATATAAATTAATAGAAAAATTCGAATTGAATAACAATTTTATTCTAAAATTCTACAATTTAAAAATTCTAAAATATAGGATACTACTTTGCATCAAATATTTATGAACTGTCCGCTTAACCGCTCAATGAAATTTAAAAAAATCTCAATGCGAAAAAGACACCAAGAATTGATCTCTCGAGATTTTCCATTCCACGTACTATCGCTATAAAATCCTTTTTCTCGATTTATACTTATTGAAGTCGTATTATATTTATTGTTAAATTTTTCTGTTTTTTTTTTTTTTTTACACAAAACGCAAATATGTCTTTTGTAAATTCCATTTTGCTGAAGATGACACTTGTTTTTTTAACAAAGCAATGCGGGATATTTGGATATCGCGCGTACATACATCCTCGTCCGTTGTGCATTTACAGCAATATATTAGCACATGTGTTTGCGCGTATGTTTGCACATGTGCGCGCGCGGAAGATTACATTTCTGCAGAAAATTGAAGTTATCTTATGTAATATGTATACGGCGCGTAGATACATGTGACAATATCGTGAGTCTTGTTTTTGTTTCGCATACAAAAAGTACAAATTTGTTGACAATCTAGTCAAAGTAGATTCCGGTGTTCTTTGGCACGTAGTTGCGCCATCTCGCCCCCATCTGCTCGATTTTTCCAGGCGCGGCTCACATAAATCTTTGAGTGAGAGGAGTCTCATTCAAAGGACCGCTTTATCCCCGGCCTTAAGACGCCCGAACGAACCCTAAACTCGATGTATAAACCCGAAAACGCCGAGAGCGTATTTTACGCGCGAAACGTGACCGCGAATTCACGAGCAGCCGCGTGTTTGCTAAGGTTAACTTGCGCGAGACGCACGTGGAATAAAAAAAAACCTAATTGTGTCGAATGGAGCGTATGGAGAATCGAACGGGATCTATTTTGAGTGTGTTGATAAAGAAAAAAGACTCAAGATTTAAAAGAAATACATTTGCACAAAAAAATATGTCACGCGAAAAGGAAAATAACTGCCGTAAATCACGAGCGATGTCGCTTTTCGTGCGCGATATTGAAACTTTTTATCATTTGCTCGAATGACCGTTGAAATATTAAATAGTAGAGCGTTCTATTTTACGTGATTGGGAATTTAATTGCAACTGTGGTTTCTGGCGATCTTGAGTGTTCGATACGAGAAATATTTTGCGAGAAAGAAGACGCGACGTGGACTCCTACATTCTGTAGCGGCTGATGCATTATCCATGACAGATAGCGTGGTGGCAAACGTCGATATCTTTTCACGAACTAAGTCGTGTCTCTCTTGCTTTTCTTTCTCCTGTCGCTTGCTCTCTGCTTTCTCATTTCTCGTTTTTACACGAGCTTTGAAAAGAACGAATAAAGACAAAAATCTCGCGATTTTTTCGAGCGCGCCAATTTACTTAAGCAACGTTAAGTTTTTCGGAGATTTATTGTAATTAAAGAAAAAGAAAAAAAAAAAAAAAAAAAAAAAAAAAAAAAAAAAAAAAAAACTGACTCGTAGAAGAAAAACGGTTTTAGCAGGCGATAGAATTAAATGCATAACCACAACTCAAATATGTAATTACTTTGAAATTACTTTTGGAATAAACTTTGGATATAACAAGCGTTAAGCATGAAACAGTTCCTCGGATTAACTTTGTTTCGCATGGTAAACGCTTATGTAAAGCGCGCGTACAGTTACGTGGAACAAAGGTGAACAGTTTGAACATCCATAAAATAATTTTCCATATACAGCTAAAATTAAACTTAAGATTCATTAGTGTATTATACACAATTTAGCCGTTGAATATACCTGATAAGTTTTATGTTCATTGCGAGTGCTCTATCGTTTCTGATTTGTTAACGAAGAGAGAGAGAGAGAGAGAGAGAGAGAGAGAGAGAGAGAGAGACGAAACATTCGTAAGATGTGCTATCTGAAAAATCTGCAATAAATAGCAAAGAACGTTGCTTACAAACTGAAAAGATGCTCGTAAAAAGGATTGAAACGTTAAAGTTCACGAAATTGAGTGGAATACAGTCATGAATTAACCATCACGGGCGTTATATATATATACAGCAAATTGGTCCGACATCAAGGAAAGCTCGTTCGGGGAAAAATAAAGAAATAAAGAAAGATTCGCAATGACAGTTCTGGCAGAGGTTCGATAACGTATAAGTAGCGAATCAATTCCGATATCGATCAATCATGATAATCGATTCTGTCAATTATGATAATTGACTGAAAAAAAAAGATAGCAAAACACTACGGTAACTTCAATCTTTGTTTTTTTTTTTTTGCGTTACTTTTATTCATCTACGAAAAAAATATTAACGTACCGACGATAAACTTTAGTTCGCGCGATCAAATCAAATTTTTCAATGCAAAGTCTCGCGGAGTGGCAAGAGAAAAACACGACATCTCGAGAACGTCGCGTAATATCCGCGTGTGGATTTTCCGGGTCCTTCGCCTGTCGTCCTTTTAATGCAGCCGTCAATCTTCCGCGTCCTCATCCTGACCAGAAATCCGGCATGTGTGAGACTTCCCTCGCGGAATATCCCAACATGCGACGAAAACTATTTTCAACGGGAAAAAAAAACAAACAAAAAATTTTGAAATGGGTAAATTTTATCGATTAAAGTCCGCAACAGAATTGAAAAAAATATCATTGCACGTATTTTTTTTGTTTTTCTTTTTTCACATGTGTGGAGAGAGTTTATTACGTGGAGTTTCTCTGCTGTTGCAATAATAAACATTAATTGTGCCGGAGAAAATATATGTCTCAACTCGGATTGCTCTTTATTAAAGAGGAGACACGGTGTGCGTAGAAAATAATTTTTTCTATAAATAATCCACCTTTTATTACTATAGCGTAAAAGTTATCGCCAGGCGCTGTTGCGTAGTTTCTCGCTTATACATCCAGATGAAATGCTGATTTGCACGCACGCGTATTTTTTTAAGCGAAAACTTAATTGCGTGCGTTGTTTCATAATCTTTTGATTTTGTCGACACGCGACGCAAAATATTCTAGCACGAAACTATTAAAAAAAAAAAAAACAATTGTACGCATACGTACATACGTAGATCGGTGAACTACAATAGTTAATTAAAAGACCATTTAAAGTGATATATTCAAAATTGCATGTCATCCAGAAACGAAAATGCCAGTTCATTTTTAACACAAACAGGTCATTTAGCTCTATACAAAACCCAATCAACCTGCGTTCATTTATTAGAATGTCACTTTGAGTTTTCAATATTTTAACTGTCTTGTGTGTGCGTTCGTCTGAACATTTTTATAGCATTCGTATGATGTTTCTATGTTAATTTTTTCCGAAATAAAAATTTTGTAGGTTTTGAATATTTCTGATCGCGATAGAGGCATTCCTGCTATATTGCAACAAATGTGACGAAACTATTCCTCGTTGTATTAAACATTTTTCGACTTTTGCAATAAATTAACCCGTTCAGAAATATCTCAAACTATCTATAATTCAAACAAAATCCTATAAGTTGTTGTCAAAGTTTTATCGCATTTATTTTGTTGCGAAAAAATATTATACACCGTCCCACGAGAAAAATCATATGTTACTTTTCGTATTTTGAGAGAATACACATCGAAGTATAACCCGGCGTGTGTTATTTTTAGCGGTTTAACTTCACACTGCGTAATTCACCAAAAAGTATTACTTGACAGGTTAATTCACTTCTTGTGTAAGATAATATTTGACGAGCTAAATCATTTCTCGCTTAAACCCGGTCGAGCTGATCCGTTGATCTTTTTCTTTTTTTTTTTTTTTTATTCTTATTTATCACGTTGATTTAATTATAAATTCATTCGGACACACGTTCGTTTGAACGAACGAAGACGCGTGCGTGAATAAACGCACGTGTGTGCCGCACCACGTCGATAATCTGCCGGGTTGGCAAAGCCGCGAAAAATATTCCGCCGGCGTTTCCGGGATTCGCGCGAGGTATTCGGGACAATTTCAGGATATCCGCGGGATTCGCCGGCTATCCCTGCGCCTTCCCGGGGCTCCCGGCGTACGTGTTACGGAAGCAAACAGGTCGCTTAACAAGCCGGAAGAACAATAAAAATGCGTCACCTCATTAACCGCTCCCAATTAGTCCGGGGGCAGCGTCGCGCTGCGCTTAATGCGACGTATACCGGGTGTATCCTGCACAGTTGAGACAGTATTATGCACCTAATCTTTCTCTTCCCGTTTATTTTTACCTTATCATTATAATAATTAATTGCAGGACTGGATGCGCGTAAGTTCTTGTCAGTTTTCTGGGAAAGAAAATTAAAACATCGAACGCGCCTAATACGTAAAATTGAAGGTTTATTTTACTGCGCGAAACGCACGAATTGAATTTTGTGATTCAAATCACGCGGAGAACCTTAAGCGAGATCTTCGAAACGGGCGGGAAAGCCAAATCCGACCTCGTCGAGACGGAAATCGCAGCGAAACGCGAATATCGCAGTTACGAGAATTACGCGTGAATTGTTCGGCTCGGTTTCGAGTGCGCTTCAGCACGCCATTCAAGCAGGATCGTCCGTTCATTGTCCGTCCGTTAATCCTCTTCCCGCCTCCATTGAGATCACGTGATTGCAGATTTTTTCGTGAATCATGCGGCAAGCGCCTAACTTTTAACAACGCATGTTTCTTGTGTGTAGTTTATTCTTGCCAATTCAATTTTGCTTATCACACGTTCTATAAAGTTTATCGCGCTTTATAATAATTTATTATATTTAACTTTATTTAAATTTTATTTTTTACTATATAAATATCTTAACTACAAATTTTGTTTTAATTATAAAAGAGAGAGAAATCATTGGTCGGTCGTTACGTTTTTAATTTCAGTTTCGATTTTTACACCTCGATATAATATCGAGAGATAACACTCTCGCCA